CAATAGTTATTTAAATAAAGATTTTGGGCCCAACTGTAGGATAAAAACCGTTTTTGAAACTCTGCAGCAAAAAGCCCTTTGACCTGCTGTAGCTTTCTTAACTCTCGGTATGAGCAGAAAGCCTGCAGCTTCAACTGGAGCAAGCAAGGAGGATTATAGAAGGCCACAAGTTTACACAAATAACAGACAACTAAGCCATGGAGGAGTATAGTTTTGTATGTTAACAATAACATTTTTACACAATACAAGCACCAGGCTGTGTAAAATAGGAATAGTAAGGTTTTTCTAGTTCTCAAGAAGATTCTGGATCTAATTCTAATTTCTACTATGATTCAGTTTTGTTTGTATAGTGTTGTTTTACAATTGGCAATGACTCCTTATTCATCAAGGTTGCGTATGGTCACAACCGACTGTAAAATGAGCACATGCAAAATGACTCAATTTCATGCTTAGCATATCTGTACAATCAAACTCACGTCTGGTAGGAATGTGTGTAAATTTAATGTGTGTAAATTTAGTGTAATAGTTTAATCAGAAATAATGCTTGAGTTGCAGTTAAATAATCAAAACTTTTATCAATTTAATCTGTAATACCAATAATAAGAATAAAAATAGAAAATAACAATAATAACAATTGTGCACATGCCAATTCAGTACAAAAGTGGATGTATGTATTTTACATGCAGATAGGTATAAAAAAAACACCTCAATGATTCTTTGCTCTATTCAAACAAATCTCATGCTGCGCTTTTTTATGCTAGCCCACTGACACCACCACAAAAATTAAAGGTACAAATCTCAGAAAGTTGGGGTAGCAGTGCACTCACTGCTCAACCTCAGACTCTACCTACGAGCACAGCCATTGGCTCACAAGCCACTGAATGCTGCCATTTTATAGGCTCCCTACCGACACACATGCATGAATTAGGGTGTGCTTCATGTAAATGATATGTAAATGAGGTGCCAGTAGGGTGGCGCTTGATTTCATACACTGATGCTGATTCATCATTTGCAATTAAATCTGCACTTTTTCCATGTACCTCATTATAGACTGTCAAATCTGCTTTTATATGCAAATTTGTTAAAAATTAAAAGAACAAATAAGGGCCAATGTCACAAGAGCACTTAATATTCAGAAATTCAGGTTTATAACATTTGAGTATTATGTAAATAAATGCATACTAATATGTAATTCAACATCTTGATATTTAGACTACGAGGTTGGAGTTCCACAAGGATCAATTTTGGGCCCATTGTTATTTAGTGTTTGCGTTAACAATCGCCCATTAAACGTCCATCTTCCTGGGTTTGCGTGTTGAATATATGCAGCTCACAATTATTTACTGTGCATTCAAATTATACGCAGCAGGCAGAACAGAAGCTTTGCAGTGATGTGCATTTTAGACTGGCTGATTTAAATCTTGATTATATCTTAATATTGTGGACAGATACTTTTCTCCCTCTTTTGCAAAAATGGTAGATTTAAAAAGCATGTAAAGAAAACGATGTAGAATAACGTGCTTTGTCCCTGTTACATTAACTAGTAATGTAAAGAAAACAAGAATTTTGAAATGAAATCTTTTAAAATGGCATGGTTTAATTAAAGAAGCTTAACATGACCAGGGACATAAACTAACAAGGCAAAAAAAAGGTACACTTAGATTCAGGTTCATGAAGTATCTTTTGAGGCCTAGCTCTACCTACAGATATATAATGCATGGAAGTTTGTGGCTATAATAACAGCTTTAAACTGGCATATGTGACAAATAATATGGAAACAGACAATTTTGATACACTGAGGTTAAAACAAACAAACAAACAAACAAACAGGACCTTCAATGATCATATATTTTATTCTCAATACAGCAAAATACAAAGAATATTCGCAACAGACTCGGAAAACCCATTAGTATCCAGTAATACTCACTTCACAAAAAATGTTTTTAAATTACAAGTTAGGATAATCGAGGCTCATGAGAGTACCTTTAACTCATAGATCATATTGCATCCATAATATATATGTAAAAACTTCTCTTGTCAATCTCTTCTTAATACTTTAAAAACTAAACTTGATTTTGACTATACTGAACTGTCTGCACCTAGATAATCTGCCTTTTGAGAATCATAAAATGAGTACAACATATACACATCGAGACCAGTTCAACATACACCTTGAAGAAACACCTTGGAAACAGCTCAGAAGAACACAGGCTACAGCAGTCCCTCAGCAGGACTTCCTTAGGGCCAACTGCCAATATCTCATTTAGACAGGATTGAAATGGACTAAGAATATCATCCGAATGACGACTCCATCGTATAGTACATAAAACATACTAAGCATTTCTAAGAATTTGAATGATAAAACACGCAGCGATGTGGCTGTAGAAAAGAGAGTAGTACAGTAATGGATGTGACAAGAAAGGAAACAAATGAAAACACACAGTGACATACAGTGTTGTGTCAACGAAAAAGAAGAAATGAAAAGTTCGGTAATGAAAAAGAAAAATGCGTATAATATTCACATTCTATTTACAACTTAATACAAATGTTAAACCGCCATAAAAATTTACCCTAAAAGACATTATGTACATTTGTACAGTGTAGTATTTAAATAGAAACATGCAAGTGTTCTGCTTTTGTATAGGATGTCAGAAAAAAGTTGTCTTACCCTGCTTTATAGTTGTAATAAGAGAATTATTCATTGATTTTCATCTGGAAATAAAACTCATCTAAAAGCAGTCCTGTGAAATACAGTAAGAAAAAAAAGCTAGAAATAATAATTAACAAAATATGCCAAGGACACAATAAAATAGAGTGTGGCGAGAAGGCCTTAGGAATATTTCTGTGACGATTCATATTCACCTGTAGTTATTCTCACCCTGGAACCTCTACTTAAATCAAAGTAGTGCATAAGTCAACAATTATGCAAATAACAAAACCCTGCCTCTGTATGATCAATGGGCTCTGAGTAATGGTCTACAATCTCTATGAAAATAAAATAACAATACAAAGAGGGTCATTTCAACAAGAGTTCATATTTGCCTCAATGTATGTCACAAATATGCTTAAAGTAAGTAATGAACCACCAAATCTAGCAAAAAATACCACTGATCCTTCTGGTCATTTACCATCTAGACCAAGCAGTAAGCATTCTCCTGGACAGCAGGAAAAAACACTTTCAGCACATGTGCAACAAACAAGAGGCAAACACAGAATATCTCTGTTTAGAATTGTCCCTTTATAGAATATATATGAAGACACTACCTTAAGAATTTACCTTAACATAACCAAACCCAAAGTTAAAGTCAATGTGCAATACTTTGTGAAAGTTACACATAAAATGACACTGAATTTACTGGCTGTTGAACTACTGCCCATGCTAGCTGTGAGGACTGTTGAAAGAAACTATCTGCATAGACAGATTTCTTACTCCACTCTGAACGAGCGCAAGAAGAAATAACAGTTTGTCCCTACAGAAAAAACAGGGAGCCAATGAAATAAAAAAGTTTCTAGTGCAAGAAATGGTAGATTTCCAGCATTTAATACACTGCGGACTGAACCAAGGAACTTCAATCTTATAAGATGTGAATCCATTTCTTTTGTCGTTATTACTGTACCATCACAAGTGGTTTATTCTATTTCACTTTTAGCCTACGATGCCCCACTTACTGCGAACACTTCAGACAAAATGAGACGGCTATGGAACAATACGACTTCACAAGCAAAACTTGCTTGTGTTTTCTGGGCACTAAAACAACTTAATCTGCTATTATACTGCGTATTGTATATATAAACTGTAAATTTCAACAGTATCATAAATATATTCCTTAGATGACTTCTTTCCTTTAAATGATTTGTAGTACACAAATGACTATGAAGCTATAAAGGGAACCTCAAGACCAACATTAAATATTTAAATATGACATTTTCATATACAATAGAAATACAATATCTCATATTACAACCCTGTATTCAAGCCAAAATAAAATAAAACTGCGAGTGAAAATGCAACTTTGAACAAAGCTAATTTTCTGTATCTAAATAAAATATATATTGGGCCAGATACTTACGCGGCAGTAATAAAATAGTCCTGTGCTTAGGAAGATAAAAGCTATGGCTAAAGAGAGTCCCTAAAAAGTCTAAAAGCCTTGGCCAGCGAGAACAAGATAACAATTGTGTTGGACTCAAAGATAAATTCATGATCTGGAAAATGACCAACGAACTTCAGAACATCAGGAGGAACACTGGACAAACTGGCTGGGGGAAGGAAAAAAAAAAAGAAAGTTTGATATGACGTTTTAGGTCCTATTGGTCAACAAGATGACGCTGTTATATTAAATAAATAAAAACAAAACTGCAGACATGTTCAGTGTCAATGTTGGACCATTAAAGACGGTGGCCACATCAAACTCTGATGACGAGCTGGCCCGGCGCCTGTGAAGACAAATGATATTTTGTGCATGCAATGATATCTCTTTACGATGTGGCATAGCCACACTGTGTTCTGTACATCGAATGGAATGCTTTCTCGAATTACTGTTAACGTCCATTAGCATTCCACAGCCCCACCCTGCAGCACATGCCCCTCGTATAAAGTCACAACATAACTCCAGGACCAACCCCTGTGGACAAACAAGATACTGTATCTCCTAGTTTCCTGTATATCATATACAAGGCACAAAAAAGATAAAAGGACAACCCCTTTGTTTTTAAAGCACCTTTGGTTAAAGGGAGGTACTTTGGTTTAAAAGAGCCATAAAAGTCCAAACGTATTGTTCATGGTTGTTCACAGCTGTAAGAGGAAACAAAAAAAAACAAAAAAACAAAAAAGGCCTAGTAAAAAAACAAAAAAAATGGCTTTTCTTTTTTTAATGATGAGGACAGGACTAATGCAGCCTAAGAATGTTCATTTGATAAATGTGCACTTGGTTGCCTCCCCGCTCATGAATATTTATAAGGGTCGAGGAGGGGGGTAGGGCGTTCCAAATAGCTCAGTGTTGTTTTTTTTTGGCAAGCTGGTGTAGAAAATGGACACAGTGTCACAGATATGTCTGAGGCAGATTAAGTTTGAGAGTGTTGTGTAGGTGTACAGGAGCGCGGATGGGGAACATGGCCAGTAAGCTTGAAGGAGGGAGAGAGGGAGGGGACGTGAGGCCTTTATGAGGTGAGCTTGGCGTCGAGCCGTAGCCAGTGGAGGCCCTGCCGCGTGTAACGCACCAGTTCAGTCATGCTGCTGGTGTTAAAGATCAGAGGGCCCATCACCTTGTCCAGCTCGGTGAAGAACTCTAAAAAAAAACAAAAAAAAACAACACAAAAAACAAAAACAAAAACATGAAAAACAGAAAGTGAGTAAGGTGAAATCTTTTTTGACATAAATGGAACATTATTTATTCACATCAGGGTATTGGACAGGTTCAGATACAATTTAACTGTCAAATAATCGTCAGGCTTGGGTGGGACAGTCTTTAACAGATGGGTCTGCATTTACCCTGCTTTAGTTTTTCCTCCCTACTTTAATGCACCTCCTAGTGCTGAGTGATATACTACCTATATCAGTATACCGTTGTATTACCACAGCGTGATTATTATTTAAAGGCATTGAGTGATAATGTGCTTTATATCCATAACTTAATAAACAGCAGTGTACCTGTCGGCAAACAGTTTTTTTTTTCAGTTCTGTTTTCATGCAATACACCTCGCATTTAACTGCCATGTTTATCCTCATCTTGTTTTGAAAGAACAGTTCAAAATACTAGAATGAAACAAATAGTAAGCTTTCTTTGCAGAAATGTGCTTTCTGAAGTGAACATGTTCATGATGCTTCATGCACATGGCACGCGCCCAACAATATATTCGCTTCGTGCGCATGCCCATGTATACCTATACTGATTAATGTAGGAGCAGCTTCAAGTGGCACTCAGTGGTGCAGTTTTGTCTAAAAAACACCATTTTGTTAAGTTTGTAAGACTTATATAAACTGTTCATGTGCATGTTTAGTTTGTCTCAGGGGCAGCACTGTTTTTGGTTCACTGTGTTTGGGTTTATCACTGTGTCCACGGTACGGCAAAATTCATATCACAAGAGAACGTCATAATGGTATTCACTTTTATACCAGTGTACTGCCTACCCCTACCACAATATTTAAAAACGACGCTGGTATTTAAAAATGAAAATTTAAATTTTTGATGTGTCAAATTTCTATTTCATGAATAGCTAAATAAAAACATTCCACTAATTTATATTTTAAAGGGGCTCAGTGATTGGTGATATGTAGCAAAGATAGAATAAGGGGGGAAAACAAAAAAACGAGAAAAAACAAACAAACAAAGCAAAAAAAGAAAAACAACATATAACAAAAAAACAAAGCATGATAGAACACGATTGTTTTTGTAAAATACTTTTTGATAATTTTCAAATCGAAAATAACGCAGCACGAGGCTGCAAATAAATGATTTGACATCACTTTTGATGCTTTTACACCAAAGTGGAGTTTTAATTCGTGCCTGGTTGATGGTGGTTCAGTTTGCTCAGGATTTTGTCTTGGCACAGTCAGGTTTAAATTCAAATCTGTGCTGTGGGTTGAGCCAGTATTAGATAGAATGTTTCTTGGCTAGGTCTGTTCAAAAGTCCACTCTCTCTAGTTCAGTCATCCTACCTCTCTGCTCTTTGGCCAGCTGCTCAGCCTGGTCCCATACTTCAGTAGCGTAGAGGAAATTTGAGGTGACTTGCACGTAGCTGGCGGCCATCTGGTGGATGCGCTGCGGGATGGTGACAGAGGAGCTTCCGCTCTGGCTGGAGCTGCTGGAGGAGTAGCTGCCGGCACTGCCGGGAGACAGCTTAGGAGATACTGGGGACGGCATACCGGCAGCTTTACTGGATAGAGAGAGGTAGAGAAAGCAGATTTAAGCCCAATTGACTATAACAACACTGCTATACTTTCTAAAAACGAACCAGAATAGCATTAGAGTCCTTTATGAATCAGTGACACTTCTGTTTAAGTCCTCCCTGTTGATGTGTTGCTACCAACAGTGACCTCAGAGTTACATAACTGTAAATTACTCACAAGTCAGTAACGCTATACAATGTGATCTACTATATCATCAGGATTGGAAAGTAATAGGATAATATACTTAAACCTACAGAAAAGGTAACTAATCGTTCACAGTAAAAGGAAAAAAGAATAATCAGATTATAGGTACTTCTGAAAATAAGGTGATTTAATAGTAAGATTCAATAAAAATGTAGAAGAAAAACACTGACAGGGAGGCTTTCATCAAGATAAAAAAAAAAACAGGCAAGACTAGTAATACATGAATGAAAATATTTTACTGGCTGATTTGTTGTTTAGATTGTGACTACAGTCTTAAGCACAAGATCAGTAATGCCTTGCTATGTGAAAGTCTTTCACAAGTCTAAACACACTGGTCTCTACACACTGGAGAAAGAAAGAAAGAAAAAAAAACAAGTCTTACTTTCCCATTCCAGGAGATGGAGCTTGAGTATTACTTAATGAATTCTGAAATGAAAAAAAAATACAGAATAATTTCAACCATAAAATCACTGCACATAATTAATCATCTATTCTTTCTGAAAATTGATTACTCTGCGCTGTTTGTTCCTCCTTGTCTTTTAAGGACCTGTTTGTGTTAAGAAAAACCCAAAGCCCAGAGAGTAGTAATATATTACTAAGATTAACTGTGTATTTATTCTGTCAGTGCAATTTATACTTGCCTTCAAATGTTCAGTGAGCGTCTTCGAGTACTTCAGTGCACTCTCCTTCCTCAGTTTGAAAAGTCTCAGGTAGAGGAGAGACTGGCACCTTAGGCTGAGTTCAAATGAAAGGGGAAAATCAATGTTATCCAGATTTCAACTTCGGTTAATAGAAGTTAATTTAGCCCAAACAGAGTGGACTTCAGGTTATTAAAAAAAAACAAAAAAAAACAAAACCTGAATTTGGCTGTAAAGCAACCATATTGAAAATAAAAACGAACAATCAGTGCTATATTTCGGTGTGAAGTGGCATGTTCCTTTGTTGGGGTCTTAAAAGATATTAAAAGTACTGAGTTTAATTTTAAAACTGTGCAGTGACAATTATAAAGGGCCTGCCACATCTGTAATCATCACAGTTTCGTCACGTCACAGAAAATGCAACGTGTATGTGAACGTGACCTAACATATCAAATCCTGGCAGAAAAAACATGCTGAGTCTACATACATAGGCCACATATTTAAGACTGACACTCAAGCATGTAGACTTCATTGTGCTCTGTCCACCTACCACAGTACGGCTAGCCTTTTGTCTGCTGAGGTAGCGTCTGGTGCCATATAGCTCTTTAATTTCATAGTGTACCTAAAATAAAACACACACACACACACACACACGTGAGAAAACACAACATGCTTTTCTTAGAAGAAGATTAACATTCCTACACATCACATGGTGTAAAGAGGACATCTAGAGGTTGCAGATGAAATCACAACCAAAACGTGTGTATAAATACACACACACACACACACACACACGCTGTGCTAGAAAGAAAGGTGGGGGGAAAGGAAAAAATGAAAAACAGAAAGCCCTTACTTAATGAGTTCCACAGTTTCAGCATACATGGGGAAAGGAGACTTGGCCTCCTGGGCGCTTTTCTCCAAGGCATTGCCACATTCAATGAAGGAGACCACGGCATCAAGGTAATAAACAGCCTTTTCAAATCGGTCCATCTGTAATGCAGAACAGTAACATATTTGACAAGTGTCCTGATGCTTGGTTTACAAGAATAAAAGAGCAAAGAATCTGGAGCAAGCAAACGCTCCAAAACAGCAGAATGATGTATGCATGTTATATTTATTTTCCAGGCAAGACTGAACTTTGGAGGTGTGGAAAACATCCCTTTGAAAAAGTTAAAGCAAGTTTCCTGAAAAGAATGGAAGCTGTAGTAATAACAAAGAGTGGACACACTAAATACTGAAAAACTATATATATATATATATATATATATATATATATATATATATATATATATATATATATATACACACACACACACACACAGTGGTGTGAAAAAGTGTTTGCCCCCTTTTCTGATTTCTTATTCTTTTGCATGTTTGCCACACTTAAATGTTTCAGATCACCAAACAAATTTAAATATTAGACAAAGATAACACAAGTAAACACAAAATGCAGTTTATAAATGAAGGTCTTTATTGTTAAGGGAAAAAGAAATCCAAACCTACAGGGCCCTGTGTGAAAAAGTGATTGCCCCCTAAACCTAACAACTGGTCGGGCCACCCTTAACAACAACGACAACAACAACAACAACAACAACAACAACAACAACAACAACAACTGCAATCAAGCGTTTGCGATAACTGGCAATGAGTCTTTTACAGCGCTGTGGAGGAATTTTGGCCCACTCATCTTTGCAGAATTGTTGTAATTCAGCCACATTGGAGGGTTTCCGAGCATGAACTGCCTTTTTAAGGTCATGTCACAGCATCTCAATTGGATTCAGGTCAGGACTTTGACTAGGCCACTCCAAAGTCTTAATTTTGTTTTTGCTTAAGCCATTCAGAGGTGGACTTGCTGGTGCGTTTTGGATCATTGTCCTGCTGCAGAACCCAAGTGCGCTTCAGCTTGAGGTCACAAACAGATGGCCGGACATTCTCCTTCAGGATTTTTTGGTAGTGAGCAGGAATTCATGGTTCCATTTACCACAGCAAGTCTTCCAGGTCCTGAATCAGCAAAACAGCCCCAGACCATCACACTACCACCACCATATTTTACTGTTGGTATGATGTTCCTTTTCTGAAATGCTGTGTTACTTCTAAGCCAGATGTAATGGGACATACACCTTCCAAAAAGTTCACCTTTTGTCTCGTCAGTCCACAGAGTATTCTGCCAAAAGTCTTGGGGATCATCAAGATGTTTTCTGGCAAAACTGAGCCGAGCCTTTATGTACTTTTTGCAGTGGTTTTCGTCTTGTAACTCATGAACACTGACATTAACTGAGGCAAGTGAGGCCTGTAGTTCTTTGGATGTTGTTGTGGGGTCTTTTGTGACCTCTTGGATGAGTCGTCGCTGCACTCTTGGGGTAATTTTGGTCGGCCGGGGAATGTTCACCACTGTTCCATGTTTTTTCGCCATTTGCGGATAACGGCTCTAACTGTGGTTCGCTGGAGTCCCAAAGCTTTCGAAATGGCTTTATAACCTTTTCCAGACTGATAGATCTGCTAAGGGTGGCCCAACCAGTTATTAGGTTTAGGGGGCAATCATTTTTTCACACAGGGCCCTGTAGGTTTGGATTTCTTTTTCCCTTAATAGTAAGGACCTTCATTTATAAACTGCATTTTGTGTTTGCTTGTGTTATCCTTGTCTAATATTTAAATAATTATATTAGAAATCATAATATAAGAATAAGAAATCAGGAAGGGGCAAACACTTTCACATGACTGTGTGTGTGTGTGTGTGTGTGTGTGTGTGTATATATATATATATATATATATATATATATATTATATTTTATATGAATATAAAATATTATATTTAGTTGTTGAGGCTTCTGTTTAATTTTCTGTTAAACACGTTTTTTGCTGACCCTGAAAAATGAAACTTGTATTTAATAGTTTTGATTGGAAATTAGATAAATGAAGGGTGGTATATTTTTAGACAGTGGTGTATTTGGCTTATCATATGAATCAAGAAAAAAAAAAAAAGAATCATAAATAAATAACTGTTCAGAAGTTTCTAAACACAGAGCAAAAGCAGTTATAGATTCTCTAGAGCAGAGGTCACTAATAGGCGGACCGCAGTCTGAGTCCAGACCCAGACGCTGTCCTATGTGGACCTGGACCTATAACTGATAAACTAAGGAGAATTATTTAATTTCGACCGGGTAGTCCTATTTTAATCGGCGTAATGTTTCTAGCATTTACGGTACGGCTTTAGCGGCCTGGGAAACTCACAGACCAATCATATGCGTTGTAAAAATCACAAGTGACACTACTCAGCCAATCAGATCTGTGCATTATGTTGAGCACTGAGACTCGAGTGAGTGGTCGAGAAAGTGATCCAGATTATTTTACATGGTGTGCTCTAAAAAGGAAAAACTGACAAATATTTTTGAAATATTACTGAATCGTACTTTATTTGATTCGACATTCAGTTGTTGACTATAACTACTACTCCTGTATACAGTATATGGCCCTGAATCATAATGCAAGTTAGACATTATGATTTTCCGGATCTTTGCTTGAGGAAATTTTCTTTGACTGGACCTTATTGAATTTTAATTAAAGACCTCTGCTCTAGAGTAATTAATATTTCTTTAGTGTGCTTATTTTTCAAATAAGAAAAAACAAAGAAACAGCATCACACCTGTCAGCACTGATGACAATATCACACAAAAGCCTGTGCACAGGCACACTTTCATTTATTTATTTTTTTTAAGTGAACACTGATTCAGGCATCACTATCCATTAGTCTCCTCACGGAACACTATGAAATTTGTTTAGAGTGAAGAAAGCTCCTCTGTTTAGCTCCTTACTCAAGACGTAGAAAGTCACAAGTAGCAGAAATATCATGTGGATTACCTGATAGCAACAGGTGGCGATCTGCGTAAGGGATAAACATGTTCTTACCAGAGCATCTGCATTGTGTTTCAGCTTCTTAGCCTCTTGAAGGTAATGGTCAGCGGAGTGGACCCTGAAAATGTCAAGTAAGTGTGTGAGGCATTTCAAGTTACCCAGCATCATCTAACTATGAAGGCTATGAAGTGACTAAGAAGGTCCAAGTGCTGTGTGCTAGATTTAATTTTAGTTTTATTGCCTTATAGCAGGTTTGAAAAGCTATTAGACTTGGTAGTTGTGTTTGTATTGATAAGGACCACACATACACAAGCCATATATTGTACTGTTTGTTCATCTGTAAATTATATTGCTATGAAACAGCCCATGAAATGTACCAGAGGTTTTTTTGTTTATGTTTCTTTTTTATGTTACTAGGATACACAATACTGGAATCACAATATCAGTGCTTCCCTAAAAGTTACTCAGCGTCAACAGAATTAGCAAATTCTCTGTTTAAATTGCAGAGAAATGCCAGCTGACGAAACAGTTTCTCGTATCATGACCGGTGTTACAAACAATCATGTGAGAGTGTACAGAAAAGCACAGAGGACATTCATGGCTATTGTCTACTTATAGGTTGTGATGAGTGACAGAATCTATAGCCTAAGCACAAAAAATACCATATACACGGCACAAAAATCATATAACAGTGAACAATGTCTGTTCCCAGACAGCCAAGGATGAATGTTTTCAGTGGCATTTTTGTTCTTAATAAAATTGCTTGTTTTATTTCTCAAAGTGGTTAAGAGCCCTGCTGCTAACTGCAGTTTCAATTTCATCAATGTCTCTTGCAGCTGCAGCTATACATACATGCTCAAGCCACAAAAATACCATCACCACGTTTAACAAATGAAGCAGCAATACACTGTAACACAATGTAACTGAAATAGACCATCTGGTCTTTGATGCTGACTTGCAGCAACATCCAATACACTATTAAAATTAAAGGAGAGAGAAAGGGTTCTTTGCGCAATGTCATAAAAGAGGCAACGAATGGTTTGCCTTTGTGTGACCTTCATTTTTACAAGTGTACAAAGGTTTTTCTCCTCTCCACAAGCGCTGCAGTACCAAGCCAAAACAACAAGTGCTGCTGTCTACCGCATCTGATTCAGCCACACAGTCTTACACACTCACATGCACAGCATGCGCCTCAAGGACTTTTATGAAAAATGCTGTTTCTGTGGTCTCTTACACAGTAGTTTAAGCAACCGCAGAGAAGCCTTACCTGTCCTCAAAGAGCAGTCTGGATCTCTTTGAACTGTCTGAAGAGAGAGGAGGTACAGCCAGTTGATTCTCCATCTTAGGGATCTTCTCCTGGAAGGGGGAAATGAGAATGAGAGTAATTCACATCTGAGGACTTAAGTGAGTTGCTTAAGTGAGAATGGATCAATTCCAGTGTGATGCAGTCTAGCAGGGCCAGATGCAATTTTGTAACGAGAAAGTCATCCATAAGAAATTTTGGGCTCAATGCGGGTGGGAACATATACTTATTAGGGCGGGAACAAACTGAGTTTGAATTTCAAGGCATAGACGGTGACGCTTTAACATGCAAAGGAAAAACAGTTCCTTTAGCTAACAAAAGCATTTTGCTTGCTATCTTTTATAAAAGGGATTTATAAAAGAGCATGGACTAAAGGAATTTAGGGTCATGTTTTAGACAGGGTGTACCCTTTTTTGGCACAGTTTGCCATAATCCAGCATTAAATATTTAATAAGGTATTCCTATAAGTGTATTTCTGTAACAATATCACGTCTGGCCCCACAAGACTAAGCGTGATGTTCAGATGAACTTCTTGTGTTAATCAGAAAAAAACAGGGAACACACACCTTGGTTTCCCTGCTGCTGCGGCTTTGTTTGTCCTCGCCCTTTCGGTGCTTGGAGCTGGAGCTGCTCTTGCCGCTCTCTTTGCTGCTGGCACTGCTGGGCAGTGAGGTGGACGACTGGCTGGCTGTGCGTTTGCGGCCCTGGTGTTCCGACTTCGGCGTCCGCTGCAGGGCCATTGAGGGAGAGGGCACAGGGTCTTTCTCCTTTTCCACACTCCGCTTCGAAGACCTAGGGAGGGTGGAAATATAGGATTCAATAAAGTATAACATTTCAATTTTGTTAAAAATGTGATTGTCAATTTAGGACATGAAATAAAGACACACTTACTCCTTATTTGGTTTATGATGTGAAGGCTTCTCTTCCTGCCTGGATTTCTTGTTATCTGGTTTAACGCCATCATCGTCATTCTACAAGCACAACACCGATGCAATTAAAATTGAAATTTAAGAATCATTAAAATTAGAGGGATGTTGAACTAAAACACCAGTTTAACCAAAGTCACTAATTTTGCCAACAATTAAAGCTAGTAGCACCAATCAACACTATCCATAAAGTGTACTAACTGGTCTCCACGAACTGTAGATTTGATTTGCCTCACAATTTTCATGTCACAATTCAGTTCACTTTTCGGCTTTCACTTGTTTGTTTTTATCACTCACTTATTTCATCTCATCAGCTAATTAGCAAGGCAATGAATAGAATTCAGAGTGTTAGAAGAGGGAAAATGCTAATCTCTGCAGAGCTGTGGCCTAGACAAAACCCAGTGTGACATGCCTGTGCTACACAGGCTGGTTTGGCACGTCCTTGTATATTTTATTTAATATTTAGAAATAGTGCAGGTGAGCAATAAACAATACAAAGCCCTGAACTCATATTAAACTCTGTCTCTACTGTCAGCACTCCCAGTAACTTTAGTATGTACTGAATTGACGCCAAGGCACTAAACATTAGCTAGAAGTTCCTGTTTTAATTATTTAATATTTTGTGGTTTCAGTTCATCTTGGTGATATACCACTTGGTACACCATTTCAGTCATTCATTTTTTTCAACACTGCATTGAATCTGTTGCCCTTAACGAAAACTCAAGTCCAGTTACCTTATGCTTCCTCTTGCCCTTGCTGGCTCCCTTCTCCCCTGTCTGCTTCTGGAAGTCCTTGCTCTCTCCAGTTGATTCCCTTTCCACTTTCACCTCGATGTCCTTATATAGCCGGCCAGGCACTCGACTCAGGAGGCTCAGGTCGATGGTCACCAGAAGCTGTCTGGGGGGCGGTGGCCTCTCGTCCGGATCGCTTAGCGGTGACAACAGCTCCGTGTTCTCAATGGGCGAGAGGACGCAAACAAGCCCATATTTTGGCGTTTGTGAGGACGAGGGTGCACTCTCCTCACCCTCCGATTCTGAGGAAGACGACTCTGTGTCCACGAATTCACGCGATTTTTGCACCGTCTTGCCTTGTCCCTTCGGCTTGCGCTTGTCCTGTGTTGCCCGGGGAGAGGATGGCGGTTTGGGGTCTTTCCTAATGTTAGGTTTGCGTGGGCCTTTGTTGGGCGCCCGAGCACGGTGCTGTGGAATCTCAGGCGGAGGTTCACTCTCCACCTTCAGCCCACCTTTTGGCTCCTCCACCACAGGCGGCTTCTCTGGCTTCTTGGGCTGCTTTTTCCCAACAAATCGCCGCTGGCTTGTTCCACCGCCCTCACTCTGAGCGGGTGACTTCTGCCGGCCCCGGCCGCTCTCTGAACCCTTCTGGGGAGCCCGCAGGTCCCGTCCTGGGGTAGGGGTGGAGTCTTTGGGGCCCTGGCTGCCGTAGCCTCGGCCCGTGTTGGCCTCGCGATCCTCCATCTTTGACAACCAGTTGTCCAGTTGCCACTTGTTGGCTGGAGGCTGTTCGCGCTGGTATAAAAAATAAGAAGGTACTCCTTTAAAACACAGAACTGGAAATAACTGATTGAGACAAAAATCTATCCTCAGTGACAAAAGTGGAGGCATTTTCTTGTCTTTTAAAATAAGGTCAAGCATAGCATCTTAAAAATTAATAGTAAAGCATGGTCAGCCAATGTAATTGGTACAAAATTATCTTCGATATTCACAGACTTCAAGACACATTTGCTAACTCTGAATTGTTCGCACATGTTCTAATGCAAAGTCTGAAGCCAGGAATAAGACAATGGAGGGGAGAAAAGGTGGCAAACAGACTATGAGGAAGATGTTTTGTATGACTATGGACTAGGTTTAATGCAATATAAACATTGTGGAATATGCGTATGTGTATTTCTCACCTCAGGTGAGGGTACACAGGATTGTTCATTGGTCTCGCTGTCAGTGGAGCTGCTCTCGCTCTCACTCTCTGATCCAGAGCTGCTCTCTGAGCCGCTGTGACTACTGGAGTCTTCCCGCTCAGCTACTTCACTGTTATTATTACTGTTATTACAAAGGAAACAACAGCACATGAACAAAGAACAAACAGAATTCAGATATGAATCAACACAGATTGAAAAAAAATAACCACAGATACATAAACATCCCAGCCTCCTCTAAAGTTTGCACATTTGAACCTTAAATCGACTGCTGCTTTTCTTCTGCTGTATTTAGCACCAACTGTCTGATTCCTTGCTGATATCACACCAAACCACCTGCACAGCTGCATTATGACTACTTAAAGCAATATTTGTGCAACACATAGGTGCTTGGGTGCTAAGCACATATTCCGTGTTTGCTATCTGACATATGGTTTTTGAGAATTCATAATATGGTTGAGAAAAAATTCTAAAGAAAAATGAAATATAAGCAACGCAGTTCTATATTTTGGATGGTCAATTTTCACTTTAGGCGGCTGACTTTATTTTCGGGACAGTTATGGAACAGTTCTGAAAAAAAGTTCGTCTGGAGCTAAAGAACAAAACTTATGTCTTGGCAGAACGACATCACATAAAAGTTCCTAAAGGCAACTTCATGTGTCCATTCACATCGATACAAGCCTGTGGCTTGCTAAACTGCTGCTCTAGTACCTTGCTGAGGGATTCCTTTTGGCAGAGTCTTGTTCTCCATCGCTGTCTTCGCTGCTGCTGAGTTTCAGATCGTCGTGCAGCATGCTGAAGCACAGGTACATAACATGACGTTAGACTGGAGCTATGCGAAACTCAGAAAGTTTCTCAGCACCCATTAAAACTGATTCACAGCTTGTACTGAAGCTGTATTGGAAGCGTTCACCAATTCCTCAAAATCCCTCAATGATCCTCAACAAACAAAATTCTAAATTAGACATGTTAAAGCTTGGAAGACACAAAAGCATGCAGCTTATGAGGTCTACTAGCCTGGGACTGAACGGTTAGATTAGTTAGAGACCAAGTAAACATAGCATCTTTAAAAATATAAAAATAAAAGGTGAACCTCATGTTTTACATTAAACCACAAATCTAAACTCTAGTGTCTGAACCTTAAACAGATCATACTGAAAGCCTCATGACCATGTGCACTTATTACATATTACACATTCAGAAACAGATAACTCACTCGGTCTGGTTGCCATCGCATGCCTTAGACTGCTGACTGGTGGACGTGCCCTTCCCTGAGAGGTGCGAGATGATGGTTAGCTTGGACATGTCGGTGCATCAGTAAAAGAGTTTAACCAAGCAGTGCTGTTATCATAATATGATAACTTATCAAGATAAGATATTGTTGAGTTTTTGATCGCTGTGGTATCACAATATGACCTATGACCAGTCTTACATTTTGGCTGGACTGCATTAAAGAAAATACCAAATACTTACTGTGTCCTCCAAAACTTGTGTGCTGGGCATCCTGTAACATAAAGACAATTTTGTGGAGACTCAGAAAAGTTAATGGTAACAATATTATTCAGGAATTCCTAGTAGACACAGCATGGACATGTTATGGTATATTATCTGATTGTAAACAATCCCTTCGGACTCTTTTACAACAGTAAAGCGACTTAACACCCATCAGCCTCCAAGAGCCTGATCAGACAAGCTGACCCAACGATGAGTCATTTTCCTAGAACTCCAACAGTTCTCTAAGCCCTCTAAAATGACCTGCTATAGTGATGTACGTGAAGAAATGATACAAAGACGACAGCGTACGGCAGTCGTTCTAAAGTCCAGGCAATGTACTGGAAGCCTGCAGCGATGTCTGACCTTAGTGGGGAAGGGGAACTTTGAAGGCTCTGTCTTGCAGGGAGTATGAATAGCTGTAAGTGGAGGAGGCCAGGACTGAGTCATTTCCTGAGAGACAGAGATAAAGGGAGACAAAAAAAAAAAAGATGAGTTCTATAGAACCTGGTAGGGGAAAACAAACCTGTCTCAAAGTAAAGTAGTTAAATTTATAAAGAACCTTTTCATTACTGATAAGCAGAGATGAACAAAGTGCTGTATTTACCTTTAAAATCTCATCAACGCAGCTTGGGTCTCCTGTCATGGATCCCTGCCAAGTCAAATACTTTCAGTCAGCATCAAAGAACTTACAAATAACGTGAAGAGACAAGAGAATAGTACCCAGCGCAATAAACCCCAAAGGAGGGCAAAGGTCCTTCATAAAGGCTCAATTCTCAGCTTTCATTATAGGACTGAATGTACCTCTTGTTGGTTGCTACTGTGATTTTCATATTGGACATATTGGACTAAATAATGTAAAGGGAGAAACTTGCCTGTGTTTGAGAGTCTCGTGTCTAATAGATTTCATTTAGAACAATAAACCTCTGACTTATTTTATAATTGTTATTTATTAAATATTTTGTAACTATTCCATATTTGTTTCAAAAACCTCTGCTTCATCCTCATTTGGTGGGAAAAGGGCTTTTTATCATTAAGATATAATCTATTTGTTTTATCTAATGTCACAATTTACAAGTAAAAGCCTTCCGTAAGCATTTTCCAAGTGTTTTAGGACATAACCACTAAACACAGTACTTTAATAAACCTGTACTGCTAATGTTTATAACGCTACATTAGGAGTGGAAAATACGAAAAATGTAATCGTTATCAAGATTTATTCTCACAATTTGCTTTTCTGAGCATATCATAGATGTCATCAGAGCTTAAAAGGGGAATTCCACCAATTTTTCAAAATTTCTGTATAATTCAATCGTCATTCCGAGTGGTTTGATGTACAGAGAAGCATGGCGTAGAGAAATTTACTGAGTCAAATTTTTTAACAGTAATAGTGATAGGAACCTTCTCGTCTTCTTGCCTTCTGAGTTTTTGTATGTATGTATGTAATGCTGATGATGGTTAAAAAAAACAAAAACAAAAAGGTAGTAAATCTGAAAAAGTTTTCTCTGGGAACTATTTTGCATGTACCTCTCCATGAATGGACTTAAACAAAAAAACGTTTTAGACCAAATCCTCCTCAAAACTATCATAAAACAATGTCTAAGACACCAGGCAGTCAATTCATAACCACTTCATGAAATGGTTTTCTGTAAGGGAGCTTTCAGAGGCATGAAACTATTCAGATGTCTGGTTCCTGAAAGGCTAAATAAAAACCATTGTATTCATAGTTTTGTTAGTATGTTTAAAAAATGTTTTTGTCTGTTCCAACTTAAACATAAAAAAATTCTTTATGGTGAAACTTGAAGTATTGTGACATTCTATTTTTGCCTTATTGTCCACCTTGAACTATTGCTGATTTTTACCTGACAGTGAGAAAATATTGTATTAAAATACTTAAAATTTAATTTAAATTAGACAAATTTAAAAGCAGCCTTGGTCACAACGAATAGTCTGTAATGGTCTGTTTCTGTAATTACTATTAGTAGTTCATATTTAATAAACAACTTGTCCATTGTAGTTGGCCTATTGGAAAGTAGCTCTTTTTCTTAAAGTGGCATTCCACTGATTTTTCAGAATTTCTATGTAATTCAATTGCCAAGATGTAAATCAACTCAGCTGGAGTGTTTTGATATAAAATGATTCGCTACAGAGAAACTTACTACTCTGATTTCTTTACAGTGGTGATAGAAACCAGGGGTTGCGATGCAAATGTAAAAGAAATATTCATTGGGGACCATTTTGCCTTGTTTTCATCATATCTGACATACATTTTAGGCCAACGCTTTATCTCAAGGCAGCATATTTATAACCATTTCATGAATAACTTTCTCACAGGAAGCTTTAAAAGTATTTAAGCTCTTCAGATATTCCTATCAATACCACTGTGAACACTTCTGACGATTCTGTGAGTTCCTCTAAAGCTGAGCATTTCACATCAAACCACTCTGAACAACTTTGTTTGCATCATAAGCTTTTAAATAATGCATGTATTTTTAGTTGAGGAAATGCCCCATAACACTGTCAAATATCAGTTAAGGCCAGTGGGCTAACTTTATCTAGGCTAAAATTTTAGCCCTGAGGCTCTCAAGGACACTATACATAAAGGGGTGTGTTAACTTGTTGTGACAAATCCAGTTAAATGAGTTCCATGATTTATGTATATTAAAATATTAATTACATTTTTGACCTGATTATACAGGCATGATAAGGATACATACTTGTGGAGTACTGATCAACAACAACAAAAACGCCTAACCTCTACTGGTGCTGGAATCTTGAGCTTGGTGAGCGATGCTTTGCCATTGCCCTTCATGTCCCCCATGCTGCTGCTGTGGGACTGGCTCCCGTAGGATTCAGAGGAGGTCTTGGGCTCGGTCGTCTCCTGGCCGTCCATGGGCCTCACATAGGCTGTGGGTTTCTGCAGCATGGAGCCGGGCTTGGACATGAGCGAGGGGGGGAAAGTCTGGCTGGAATGCTGGCCACTGGGGAACGACGAAGAAGAGGAGGAGTGCACCCTAGAAGGAGAGTCCCAGTTGGCCTCACGGTCTCTGGGCGATTTGGATCGATAGCGCTCCTTGCTGTGGTGCTCGGCCGTTAGCGAGCGCGAGTGGCTACTGGAGTTCATGGAGCCCTTAGCTGGGCTGGAGGTGGCGTGCGACTTGTGCTCATGCTTGCTGGACTTCTTGCTGCTGCTACTGCTGCTGCTGAAGTCACGTTCATGCCTTTGGCTGCTGCCACCGGAGCCGCTACGTTGGCTACTGCTGTGGCTGCTCTGCATGCCTGAGCTGGAGCGGTTCTGGGACTTGGACGAAGAGGAGGAAGAGGCTCCAGAGGCCGGGCCCACAGGAGTCCATTTGTTGCCCTGGCTCTGGCTCTGACTGCCTCCCCCTCGTGATTCACTGTACATAGACTTTTCCTCCGAAGTGGAAGAGCCGGAGGCTTTGGGCATGAGCTTAGACATAGGAGGTTCACCGATGGTTTCTTTCATCTCGTCGTAGTTTCCTAGCATGCTCTGGATGCGACTCGAAAGTTTATCTTCTGTCTTGGACTGCAGAGAGAGAGAGAGAAAAGAAACATTATGTTTCTTCTTGTCTAAATATGTTTGGGACAATGTGCAAGGGAAAAATTACACAAATTACATAGCAGCAAATGAAATGCTATGGAGAATTTTGCAAGCGAGACACTGAAATATGGCACTGACTTGGAAAACTTTCATAAACAGTTTAGATAACTTAAGCAGCAGCATCATTTCACTAATGTATAACCAGGAGAGTAAAAAGATACGAGATCATAGGACAGAACTATCTTTCAGTTGCCAAAGAGGCTGCGGTTCTGTTGTTTTCTAACCAGGACGCATAGTTTAGAGTGACCACTAAGAAACTGAGTTAATTTAAAAATACAATGAAGCAGACACCATAATTACATGCATCTAACATCACAAAGGAGCCTCTGGTTGGCCTGTTGGACTGTTTACAACTGTACTTGACATTTTCTCCTTCTTTTACACCTCCATATCTACTAAAATCACCATCAAATATGCTAAATCTGAAAACTTGGTTTCAAAACCTGACAAATAAACAGGGGGTTGAAGGTAGGGACTTTCCGAACTGCTGAACTTCACAACTGCACCTTCTACCACTGCACAGGGCATAACATGTCTCCTCTTTCACTGCTATAATATTTCCACATTACTCCATAGGGGTGGCTAACATGACAATTTTATCATCTTCATGATAAGTGAACACAACAGAGTAGGCAATACGATAGTGTAATGTAAGTTATCACAATAACGATAAATGTCACATTATGCTTTTCTGAGTATATTGTGGATATCATCAGTACTTACACACTGACCAACTGCACATTTCATTACAAAGACAACATAATTAGCCCTGTTTAATTGAAATTAGTGTAGAGCAGGATGTAAAATGTTGCATACAGATCATAATTTTCATTAACAGTATTTTTTTAAAATGTGGCACTACTGTCTCTTTTTTGTCTGTACCAACTTAGTAGATGTCAGAAAAAATAAATTTGTGGCACGTCCTGTCTGGCAAAGAGTTAATGGTGCTTTTCTGAGCATATGGTGAATACAGTCAGTACTGAAAAAATGCTGACCAATCCCATGTTTCAAAAAGAGCATAATTAGTCCTGGTTATCTGGATTTCCTGCAGCGCATTATATGGCATGCTGAACAAAAATCATGGCACTTGTCTTTTTTTATAGTATGAATAAATAGTATAATATTAATAAAATGGGGCACCATTGGGTTTTTTTGTTGTTTTTTTTATTATGTGAAAAGTATTATTATATATTCTACTTTTGCCACATTGCCCACCCCCTCTTACTTCCATATTTCCCTGCCATATTCCCTTTCCTGTTCACATGCACTTCTAGGTAAATCTTATGACAATTCCCCACCTAGGTAAGGCAAGCACTTAGCTCTGTGTAAAGCTGCTTAGCAGCACAAGATTAGTTAGTGGAAGACTAAAATCCACTTTACTGTCTGCTGGTAGCCAGAGACTATATCTAATTTCACTGAAAGGTGAGCATGTTTCAGTTAAATCATGTTGCTACACTTAAAAAAAAACAAAGATGCCCAAAAGGGTTATTTGTCATAGAAGAGCTGCTTTTGGTTTCTTAAGGAATGTGTCAGTTAATTGGTTTTTAAAAAACACACTTCTGGAGCCTTTACTCATAAGAGTATGTTATTTATTTTGACTAGATTATTGATTATTCAAAAAACAGTGAAATAAAGTACAGTACATCAAACACCCACATTTTAGGCCACTATCTAAAGTCAGCATTTAGAAAAACAAAGTCATGAAGTAGCCAGCCTGCAAAGACAGACAAGTGCCATTCAGGAATTTGAAGGGACAATGGGGACTAGTGTTAATAGCATTCTTCAAGACTAGCTGAAGGAATGTAATCTATGTTACAGAAGGGGTGAAACTGAATCTCAAGTGCAAAGCTCTAGGTTTGTTTTTGTGCTTCGCCAACAGCCATTTTAGGTCAGTCAGCAACAGACGTGCACTAAAAACTCTGCAACTGCAGCATTTAACAGAGTCTACTTACCTCAGAATGTTTTGACTCTCAAGAAGTGAGCACTACAGTTGAATTGAATCAGCCTTTTGCCAAAGATTACGACTAGCAAATGATTGATGTAATAAACAAAACCAAGTTTCAACAAACTAAAGAACGAAGAGAAAAGAAGTAAAACAAGGAACTTACAACTTTATAAGGTTCAGGAAAGAGAGGGGAGTTGGATGGAAAGGCCTCTCCTCCCTGCTGGATTTCTTGATTTCTCCTTTCTCTTTCTTTCATACGGAGCACATTCCGGTCTTCACGGTTCATGTTGCTAACAACAGAGACACAGTCACTAAGCGTTGGAACTGGGAAAAAAAGCAGCTTTCTAAAGCCTCGGTCCACATTTGAACCCAAGGTACACTCTTACATGTGAGCAACAGTGGCAAAAACTAGAAGACTTCTGAATGGGGTGTTTCAATGGTCGAAAGAACAAGATTTTAATTTAAAGGTCAAAACTGGATTTTTGAATACTACTAAGCTTTCCTTTTACTTGTTCTGAGCACAAAACCTGGTGATTACTCCCCATCTGGTGTCACTGAACGGATTTAGAGAACCTGTTCAATACTTGAAAGCCATAAAGCCGTAAGGCCACTGATAAAACTCTTCTACGCATCACAGAACTTAGACCTACCACAAAAGTGAAGATTTACACTGGCTTCACTCAGTTCTCAGTCACTGAAAGGGAATTCCTCTGATTTGCGATACTTTCCGCATAATTCAATGGTTAAGATTTAAACAAAGCCATTCAGAGTGGTTTTATATTTACGAATATGCTGCTCGATGTTTGAGGCATTGTTTTATGATAGTTTTGAGATGAAGTTTTTGCCCAAAACTTATTCATGGTGGAGAGGTACATGCAAGGCATACTTTTTCAGATTTATCACTATTTTACTCTTATCAACATTACGTATAAGAACTCTGATGACATGTAGGTTCGCTGATTGTTTTGGAATGTACATAAATTAGGTAAGCTAGAATCTAGAAACCTGATATTTATAGTTACAGTTTTTAAATATGGTATTTTGGTATGTGTTCCTTGCCACCAATAAAATCAAGCTTGAATGAATGGCATTTACTTGTTGGCATTTACTTGTTTTTGTTTATTTACTATATATAATTAGCATTTACTACTTTTATAATAAATAACAAGGACCATATTTAACAAATGAAGTAACTGCTAAATATGCTAAACTGCTAAACTGTGCAAAGCAGTTAAAGACAAAATTGAACAATATATAGAAAGACCTGCACAAGGCAGCACACAGCAGCTTATCTGGCTCAGCAACAATGGTGCTAAATGTTTCACATCCAATTTTCCCAAGTCTCATTCATGCATCCCATACACTGTTTGCATCTCCAGGTGTCAGAAACTGCTGGAGTTTAGGAAATATTAGTCATTCGGGCTGTCAGTAGCAGCCATTAAGCTGCGTATTTGTCCACTTTGTTAAAGCAAAAGGCCGCGACACTCCTGTCGCGTGATGCAACTGACCAATGGAGGTGCACCGCCAGCAGAGCTAGTGCACACACAGGCCTGGCTAACACTGGACCAAGAGAGCAGTAGTTCCTTCCATATTTCTGTCTAATGTTCTACTACTACTGTCCACTACTATTGCCTTTCCACAAAATACTGACATTACAGATTTTGCCTTGACCATTTTTACTGCTGCTTGTCATCCCGCACCGCTGATGTGTTAAGTTCCATCTAAGGGTGTGCATGCATGTGTCAGAAATTGCTTCATGGTAACAGTCATAGAATAGGTTCCTATCACCACCACTGTAAAGAAATCGCAATCAGTAAGTCTGTCTACAATGCACCATTCCACATAAAGCCACCTTGAATTACTTTGTTTACATCTCAATGACTGAGATATGCAGAAATTCTGAAAAATCAGTGGAATTCCTCTTTAATACTCTTACACTGTCAATACTCTAGGTAGCAGTGTTCTTTAAAAGAAAGTGCTGTTTAATCATTTGGCCTACATGTAACATGAGATTCATTTCAGGTAAGTAGGCTAGCCAGGGGAAATTGCATGTTCTGTGACACAATGACTAATACACGCTCTAGGGAGGCAACTTAAAACGTAGGGAATTTGAGATGACTGACACAATAGTCGGCAGGTTTTAATCACTCTCTTGGTTAGATTCAGGGGCTGACAAGCAAGAAGGTTAGTGTGGCACAGTGACTTGAGAGCCCAGAGGTGGATCAGATACCCACAAGTGTTAAGTGCTCTGTTTGGGACAAACGCTGTGCGAGCAAAAGCTACTGCCATGCTGCTGTCTGCTGACACACACAATTATCTAGAGAGTTTGTCGGTCATGTAGACAGGAAGTTATTCAGGAAGGTAGGGATTTCTTGCTACCCAAGCTACCACAACATTACAGCACGTTCCATGGCTCTACACAAACATGTTTAGGCCTAAACTGAATGAGTAAAACAACAACAGAACTAACTTTATCTCTTATTCTTAATTAAATTAAAAACAAACAGAGTCAAGGATTGGACCACAGCTTAAGTACGTTAACTTTTAATAAAAATGCACACTTTAATATTTCCAATAAATCTAAAGACACTAGAATTATGGACCTACAGCATAAGAGCTACATTAACATTAGAAAGACAAAAGTCTTCTGATCATCATCTTAATGTTGCTAAGACTGTAAACAAATGAGTGCATAAACAACTACCCACAAGGGTCAGCCAACAACAAAATAAGCTGGACAACAAGCGACTGTCTCTTACAGAATTTGTCCTTTTTGAACCTACTACAGGCTGATCGATGGTAAATGAACCACCAACGGGCACCAATGGAGCAGATTAAACATCAAGAGTCAAGTCACTCTTACTATTGATTAGATCAACATCAAAGCCTGATGGCAACTCTTCAATGTAAAGAGGTGGACATTTGAACATCTGTTGAAAGAACTCAGCCTAACCTCACTTCTGAAGACTTGCTGATGGGGGTTGGCTTGAAACTTAAAAAGAGGGTAGACCAAAGCCCATGCCTGACTCTTCTCAGTGGATACCAATGGAAAGAACAGCATGTGAATAATGTGTTGATGGTCGGCTGTTTTGCAAGACAAAGATACCCAAACGACATATGTACTGGGCAACGGCTTGATAAACAACCATTCCACAATCTCAACCCACTTACAGCTGTCTTCAGCAAATAATTACATTACTGGCAATCATGGGTCTACTGAAACAGACAGATTGAAGTCCTCCTTTCTCTGCTGCGTCTGCATGCATTTAAAAAACTTTCGAAAAACAGTGCTCATTAAACGTGTGAACGGTTCAGTGATTCAAACCCGAGAGGGCCTCCCCTCTTTCTGTAGTTTCAGTAGTGGTAATTACTAAAGGCTGAACATCTTGAAATTTAGAAACCAAGTTGTAAGCTTACAGCTGGTTAGGTGTATCATTTTAAAGCAGCTTTGGCTGACTGACAGACCAGTCATAAGAAACAGAAATCATCTCAGTAGCTGGCTTTCCACCCACGTATGCTGACTTATCAAATAAAAAGATTTGATGGAAATGGCATTGATGGAAAATATAGAATATTAAACAAAGTCTGAACGCTTGTTTGAGGTGGATACATTTTTTGCTAATACAAAAAGAAATGCGATAAATTACAATGGAAACGCATTTGCCAAGCAAATAAAGTAAACCCAAACAGAATGACTGATCAGGTGATTCCATTAGGCCCAGCGATTACTACAAAACATGACAGAAGGCAGCAAGTACCTGTGGACTAATGAAGAAATTAAAACAAACCTTTATCTTATCAAAGAAGAAAACACAAGCGACTCCAGATCGTAAACAGATGTAACATACCTACAGCAAATCCTGAGCTATAATAATTACAGTCTTTGTGCTCTTGCATTGTGAAATACAGCCATAAAATTGAACAAAATGACAAAGAGAAGTTGCCCAACATTAAAGTTATTTGGAAACTCATGCTATATTACGCAGACGTGTATTTGCGCATGTGACGTAGAGAGTAGTATTCTCTTATCACAGAGCAGAAGGAAACGCAGCCTAATTAGCAGAATTTCTTAAAACATTTCAGTTATTTGTTTGAATTCAGTTCGACAGCTGGATGGAAAACCGAGACAGTAGTCAGGTTAAGTTCAGACAGACAATGAACCCCATAGTAATACAACATTCATTTCACTGTAACAAGACAACCTTTAGATGATGCCGATACTTTATGGAAAGTCTACGCTGCAGAAAGCCTTAACCTCTAACTGTGATTTAGTTCTGTCAACGATTCTTCAACAAAAAATATTTTTAGTCTATGACTAAAGTTGATCTTTGCACAAGAAACTGACACCAATTACAGTATGTGACTGACCTGCGGTATCTCTCTAGATTATTCCACTGCGATAAACACAATCACAAAAGAGCAGCAGTCAGATTAAGCCCAGAATCAAAGTAACAACAAATGAAGACTTCATTAGTGTTGACCTATTTTATGTTCCCTGCCGTTCCTTCGATCTCAAAAAAAATTGAGGATGTGGTTGGTTGTCAGTAGGTCCACAACTATGTCAACAATAGTACTGATGTTACTAAGCAGAAACTAGCACTACTGCTTACCCTGTCTGAGAGGCCATAGCCACAACAAATGAACCATTGGAAGCAGATTAAGAGTCAAACTCCAGGTGCTTTGGTGGTGCTCTTGTGTGCCCTCTTGGTTAATTCCAGTCACTTTTTGATCGGCAGCACAGACACTTCAATCGACGGTGGTGTATTTCCTAGCAGTTGAGATAAATCTGACTTAGGGAGGGGAGGTTACAGGCTGTCTGTGGAAGATGCTATTCTTTAGGACATAGGGGGAGCACTGACAAGGGAATCAAAGCTGGACACAGAATGTTCCTTCAGTAAGAAATTCTTATTCAGGAAAGAGAATCAGACTTCTGATAGGGGAGCAAATAATAGTCATTATTTCGGATAAAGGCTCTGCTGCTTCTCAAAATGAATACTTGACAAGAAAGAAGTTTCAAGTTTTACTTAAGCAAAGTGTTCACTCCGTTCACTAAAGGCTCTATTAAAATCAAACAAAGCAGTAAGGATCACTGGTCTGTGAAAAGGAGAAGTGACTAATGACGGAGGTTTAAGTCACTGGGTGCTAAGTTAATAGTTTAAAGTGGTTTGACTGATTAAAAGACGTTTCCCCCTCTGGTGGAAAGAAATGGCGCAGTCCACCTCTTTCCATATAAGGAGATGTTATTTTACGCCAGTGAGTGGGTCCGCCTTGTGATGTCACAGTTCAGAGTGGAGGTTGACCAACCACAGCACGACTCACAGCACACAGCCTCCCTCCCATACTGGAGCCTGAAGCAGCACAGCCAGCATAAATTTCTTAAAGGAGCAGTGCCTGTTTTCTGCCAGAGCCAGAGTAGGAGCTGGGGAAATCCTCCTAAAATAACCAGCGCTCACATCACACTGAGGCAATCCACTGCAATGTGGGAATCATCCAGAGTTCCCCCGAACTCTCACCTAGCCCAACATTCCCTGCCATTCCAAACAGTTATTAAAGAAGAACTTAGCGAACACACTCAGTGTAGTGAGCCTTTGTTCCCCTATCAAAACGTTGTTTGGTTTTCCTCTAATGTTACATACGTGCGTGGACACGGACACGGACACAAACACACACGCACACGCACACCTGCTGGGTAAACGCTGGCATGCGTCCCTGGCGTGTTGCATGATGCAATATGTCTCAGTCAAGGGCAGAACAACTGCACCCAGTTGCAAAGCAGATCATTTTACCTTGGATCTATCTGGTCAGTCTGAATAATACAATGAATAATGCTAATTTCAAGCTGCACTATAAGTTCTACTAAATTTGCAACTTGCTGAAACCTGTGACACAGGCCCTTTAGTGAATTTCAACAAATTACCATATGGTCCAAACAACAGATGACGTCGTAATGCTGTCTTACGTTAAACAAAGCAAAATTCAAACCTGTTGCCTAATAACGGATAGCACTGAAAACGCAATCTCTGCATGCCCATAAAATAAAGCAATTAAGTTTTACATGAGCTTGTTCAGTGTGGCCGTAACTCTGCAAGTTATGTTTAACTATAGCATTATCATGTTATACAAACTGTTTGTCTCAACACAGCACTATGAACATGTCCTGTTCATTTTCTGGTGCTAAAATTTCCTGATTTCCCTATCTGGATCACAACGGCCATTTCACTGTTTGGTTTTGTGGAAAAAAATCTAATGTACACAAACACCAAAAGCCAAAACTCACCCTGATCTTTTCGGTAAATAGATCCCCAAAATTTGTCTCAACTCGCTCAAACCGCAGCCAAGTCTTCCTTAAGGTCACACAGACTTAGTAGATATGACTAAATGTGGTTTAGGCCACAGTACTTTTAACGTAAACTATATAAATGAACCTCACTGTAGCTGAACGCTGAAGGACACCACTTTAAACAGGGGCCTCATTTATAAAACACATTATATCAAACACACAGATCTGATCTTAAAACGACTATGTAAATATTCATGTTTAAGTAAAAGTAGAAAAGAAGAAAACATAAGTAGATTTCTAAATTTCCAACTTCATGTATGAATGGCAGTCCAAGTGTGCTACAGGCATTCAGGTACAGAACTGAACATTGTGCTTTTATAAATCAATCATACGCAAATGCTGACAACTTAAGAATAAATTTAGAATGAAATTCTGTTGTACTGAACTCTGACGCTTCTTTGCATGCACGCGCCAAGGTCTCAGACCACATTTGCGATTTCTGTTGTTACTTTGCATCAACAACTGTTAACCTTGAATTTTCACAGTGAAGATAAACATTTAAAAACAGAAACAACAGAAATCACAAGCATAATCTAAAATCCATATGTCCGGGTGATGCATGTGAACATGACGGGGAGCAAGATTCTGCGCAGGAGTCAGAACTCGGCAGGACATCTGTTGTCTAAAACAGTTAGTGCCAGCTTTCAGCTACATGATGAAGTTTTTTTTTTTTTTTTTTTACAGCTCACAGTCACGCTGTGGAGTAAACCATGACAACAAGTCTGCGCAACTTTACTGAAGACCTGGATATGGGCTGAGCAAAGTTTTGGGGATGTATTTACTGAAAAGACTTGGGTGCCTATTGGCATTTGGCGTGTATTAGCCTTGTTGCTCCAGTGCAAAAGTAAAGAAGCAAACACCAAACAGGTCTTTTCTGATCTACTGCTTCTGGGACACATGTTAGATTTGCCATTCCTTCAACTGGATACACTACAAACTGATTTTCCCCACAATTAAGGACACACACTACAACTTAACTTGAAATTGAGTAGGAATTAGTAAGCAAATGGAAGGTTTGCTGTCAATTTGCTTTTTTCATAAGAATGCTGGGTCTCCGTTCATAAGATATGGCAGAACATTTAGTTCTAGTTGTGCGGCCCATGGTTCTCCCAGTGATTTAAATGAAGACATCTGCTATTAAGCAACATGCAAATAAAAGCCAGGTAAAAATACTTGGTAGGTTCACTGTCTCCCATGGTCAGAAATACGAATGCAGAAATCAATATTAATGAACAGACCAGAACTGGGACACATGACTTCATATTAAATGCCAGCATTAAAGTCATTACACAAATAACCCTCTGGGTAACAGCCAGAAACACGGATGGGGCTTTTTTTGTTTAGTGAACACAAACAGATTTGAGAGATTTTTGTCATATTTTACTGCTGCGCCACATCTACAATTTCTTGACCATTTATTACATCTCTCCTCACACAATCACACACAGTATGTTGTGTGAAAATCCACACATATTCTGCGAAGACGCTTTGTACACTCTAGATGTGAAACTGTCAGTTAAAAACAAAGGCATTTCCCAAGAGACCCTGGGCAAAATCTGTCCTTTAGATGCCCTATTTTTCAAAGAGACATCACCTCTAGTACAGGAAATTACTTTCTGGCACGGATACCATGTTAATCTGGTTCCAAAATTTCCTTCTGCAACTTCTGATTGAGGACCTGTGTTCTACTCTAGCCAAAGTTACTTCATATTCACAGTTTAGCAACAATGTCCTTCAATTGCTGACCCAAAGCAAAAGTTACTGTAATGAACTTGACACTACTACTTTGAGACAAGCTGTGAATTATTTGTTCTGCATTCCACTTTCAATCATATTCAATTAATAATGTTGCTTCACGTTACTCCTAACAGCATCCTTTGTAAAATCATAAAATTAAATAATTTTGACAACAGCCATCTCAACTCTGTGCTTACATTATATGCCCTGATCAGGTATGCATGGTGACCTTTCCCTTGCAAATCTTTTTTGGCATCACAAGACACCGTGCAAATAGCCAGAGGAGGCGCTGAGAATTGCTTCGATTAGATTGGCAAGACATCTCACTGAGCAGAACAACTGCTCTTACAAAAACTATTGCTGGTTTTCAGCTCCATTTCCTAACCATAACAGAAGTGGAGACAGAGGCAGGGCTTGCATGGACGTCCCCCTTGTGAAATGTCAAGAAATAGCTTGACGTTAGTGGTCAGGCAGGCTAAAAAGCTCTAACCCAAATAATTTTATGGCTGCTGCTTATGTAAGGTTTTACATAATGTTTTGATGGGAAGACTAAATGTCAAACAGTACGTTGGCAACTAAGCACAGTCTTCATTATCACAAAGAGCGACAGAGGAAACAGTTAACTGACGCCAGAGAGTGAAACTAAAACAGGAAGTACTGCAGGGATGACTTGAAACACTGTTTATGAACAGGCAATCCTGTGTTCAAAAGCGGATGCCTTCCAGAAAGCAAGTGCTGTCACCGCAGTTACTGACATTTGGGCACAGTTAGGCCTTAAGCAATTATAATGTGTACAGGATGCACACATCCTCCTCCAAGCGAAGTCATCCACTGGTGAAATCGAAGTGTGTGTGTGTGAATGTGCACGTTATATAAGCACCAGAAGGTCTGCCCTAGTTCAAATCAAGAAGTGTAAGTCTTACTGTCTGTGCCACACAGATTAGGCTATGGCTGGCAGCAGCCTAGGGGCAGTGCATGAGCGAGTTGGCTAATTATGCAGCAAAACGTCCTCCGTCGGCTGCCCCTCCCCTCTCAAGCTCAACTTTAAAATGGTCTCCGAGTGCGGAAAGGAAGCTGCCAAATGGATGGTTAACTGATATGACAGTGCAATTTCAGATTAGACTGTGAATTAACTTCAAAGGTCAACCACAAGCATGAGCATGGAGTGTGTTTCAAAAACGAAAGGAAAGTGCCATCAGAAGAACAAATTAAAAATGACCTTGCCCTGACTGCTACAGAAGAGCTGTAAAGAAGGTAATCTAAACACTCAAAGTTGGCAAAGGACAACAAGCCACACATGCAGCAATAGTCTCATCACTGAAACTGTTAACAGTCTAAAAACTGAAATGGTTAGCTGACCATTTGCCACACTGTCAGCCTCTACGCGTGGCAATAACACTGAGTTTACGCAGAAAACAGGTATTAGAGGGTGGCAGTGTTGACACTACCTGTGTCCAACACTGGCATGTGGGCACAAACAGAGCAAATGCTAAAGTCCCTCAACATTAAAGCCAGGAGCATGAGCAGAGTGTCACCTGTGTAAAGTAGATAGGAGAAGGCCAAAGTTGTGAATCACATAGTAAACTTAGTATATGAGCTAATCAGTCTGATAACTAACGTTAAAAGGAGAACAAAGCATCTTTTTCAGTGAACTGTGCGAAAAGTGGCAGCTGCCCAAGCGCATAAACAGCCAGAACGACCGATCACCTCTCTAATAAAATCAAACATATAAATCACACAACTGTTGTGGTTTTCCACGGAAAGCCCGAGTGAGGTGTATTTTTTTATAACGGCTAGCTGACTGAAAAGCTAACTAGGCCTAGCCAAAATATGTCATTCAAACTAGAGTATATAGAATTTCTCTCATGTATAAATTGAGAAAAAGCGTGAGGGTTTTAAATGTCTGTGATTTTGACAACAAAGCGTGAAAAAAATAACCAACACAATCTGACCTGACCAACAAGGAAGCTTTCATTTAACGGATAAACAGCTTAGCGAGCAAG